GACTTTAATATCTCTGTAAATAAAAATGAAACTAAAAAGTGCATTATACAGGTCTAATGGTTTAGTGTACAACACGTAAAATCATTTTGTGACGATAAAAAAACACAAGCAAGAATCGCTATAAAAAATATTGAAAAGTCTAGATTTACGTACGAAAATTGATAAAATTTAACCAGTCGACACGTATGTATTTATAATAATGAAACAAAGACACGTAGGTGAAGTAATTTTTAACGATACTTCAACTTAATAACTTTGTTATTTTTCATTAATTCTATTCAAAAAGGTTAAACAAACGCGCTAGGAATACCAGAGTAAACAAACTAATTCAACTTTGCCAAGTAGCGTTCATGGTCACGGGACCATGAACGCTGGAAAGGGTTCGAAACGTCGGGAGTTCAAATCAAAATAAAAAAACGCGATAAAATCCGTATACTAGTTTCATTTAATATGTATAATATTCGCGTAAAATCAAGAAAACAATAGTTAACTATAGTTTCATCTGCCTATGGATGAAACTATAGTTAACTGCTATTTACTGTAGCTAAAAATTAACAATTATCGTTTTGGGTTCTATTACGGTTTTTTCAAATATCCTCCATGTACACACAACGATCAGTTACATTTTTATTATATGTATAGATGCGAATAACCTCTAAATAGCACGCAGAATTGTTTAAGTCATAAAATATTGTTTACATTAAAAGTATAAAAGTAAGCATTTCGTTGACAGAGAACCCTGCAAATAAAGTTTTATGAATTTTGAATTTGTATGTAATCAGTGCAAAATAAAAAATTTGTCCACTACACGCCTCTTTTTTATTTCAACATGTAGCAATTTTTTGACATCATTTACCAAAGATCATCATTATAACACAATGTATATTTTGAACTTTCAAATCTAAAATATTAGATTATTTTTATAATTTAAATTTATACTTATTTAAATACGAACTGTGCCCAAATAACAGATCTGTCTTGGTTTTGGGTTGAACAAGACCTTTCCATTCAAATAATAATAGCTCAAATTATAGATACAAGTAACTGTCCCAGTAATTACCATAATATTGATTTACCCTAAAACTACTTGTTTATCATTGTCAAATAGAATAATTCCGTAAGTTTCTTGTTCACTTAAATATAATTTTCAATATGAAAAATTTGTTCGACTGTTTTGACGTCCCGATTAGCTTGGAGAATAGTTAACCTGCCTCTCGCGCCAGAGGGAGGAACCAGCCCCACTACTGAAAAAATATTGTGTTATCAACATAGTGTATTTCCAATGCCTGGGTTCATATACAGCGTGTCATTACAACCGCGATAATAAATGAACACACGTCTAACCATACATGCCAATAATCATAAAAAATATTAACGTTAAAAAAATCCATAATAAAAAAAATTATTTCCAAACTAATTAAGTAAAAAAGAAACAAAATTAGTAACACCTTATACAACTAGCAACAAGAAAAGTATGCTTAAGTATGTTTATCCGTTTTCTAGTACGCTTTGTGCTTAGTTTGGGACTAGAGAACGTTGTGTAAAAATGTGTTCAAAAATTTTTATTAATTATTTAATTATTTATTTGTTCTCGCGTTGTTTGATGTACCGAAAATTTAAATTTTTGAGAACCGACAGAGCCCACTGTAAGCTTTAAGTATTTCTATTGAACTGTTTAATCGCTATGCTTTGTTGAAAAACGAAAAGTAGGGTTTTTAGATACAAAAAAAGTGATCATTATTTAATAAGGAGATATTAGAATATGTTAATGAGTATTAATTTGTGAGATTTTTTTAATAAATTTTAGACATTCGTGATTGTCACACGGGTCAAGCATAGAGACTATGACAAAGGCGCCTTTCAAGTGCAGTAAACAAGAGTGTGACAAAAATATGCAATGAATATTACTTACACGTGTTAGTTCCTATAATATTATAATCCAATATTTCAATGTCATAAAAATTAGTTCAGTGACAGCTTGCTTATTACAACCACCAGACAAACGATACATTTATCAAAACATATTAATATCTCCAATTGTAAATCTGCCGACCTTTTTTTTTCCGGCGAAAAATATATAGTCCAATTTCGTTTGCCAATTTCAAAAATATAAATCATCACCGGACGTGATCTCTTTGGTGTCGAATGATTGGTGGCATATTAAATTCGACAGTTTTTTGTGCCTTATTCTAAGCATTCGGTATTTGATTGAAACAAGATTTATAAGCAAATTATATTAGTTTTATTTATGAACCAAAACGGTTTTTAATTCCTTTTTTAAAGAGTGCTTTGAAAACTCCGATGCAAAAGCGCACGTTGGTAGCCTTTCATCAATGTGGTATTATCGATGCTGTTTGATTATCTGTTTTGTTGTACGGTAGTGAAACACAGCATCAGATATAAGAATCCGATAATTTATCGGTTATATGAAAAGTGGCAAGCGAGGCGGCGGATCACAGTAGATCATGTTCAGGACAGTGTGGAATATGGTGACGTAATTGTTTTTTGCTGACGGGGAAAAGGATTGCTTTATACCAAAACCAATCACTACGTCCAAACTAACCACTAAGGTCTCCTTATTCTCAGTCGAATTGTGAATGTCTAAGGAGAAATTTGGTTTAGACTGAACTCTACAGAAAATAAGTTACATTATTTTCTTACACGACGACGCATTCCATTTATCGTCCAGTATTGAATTAAATACAAAAGATCGGATTTCTCCCTTGCGGTGTGTGCCGTCGAGTCATCTCACTTGCACAGAGATGAAAGGGAAGGTATGCAATATTTCTCTTTAATACCCACGGTGATGGTGTCTGGAATACAAGAGTTTCCGAAACAAAGGCCAAGTTATCTTTCGACAAATCTACCAATATGCTGTAACATTGCTGATTCGGCATCACTTTTAAAGGATTTCGATGCCAAGTTGTACTCTTTTATAGTCACTGGTATTTTTATCCCGAGATGCCCCGGTAACGGTTTGGGCCTGATAAAAGTCAGCGAGATGTAACCTTATAGTAGCGACCGAACCAGGGTCGTGATTCCCTTGCAATTAAGACCTCAGAGGATGATGTGAAGTGGTCCTGAAATGCCACATCGTGACTTTCACATAACATACCCACAAAACTTCTCCTTTTGTTTGTAACTTTAATTGGTGCGTCACCAGTTATGCACAAAGATCCAGCAGTAAAGTAATCTTAATTAAACACTTTCTTAATTTTCAACATAAGGTGAATAAAAATTTTAGGTTCAGAATTCGCATGAGCGCTCACAATCAAATCAAATTGCACTTTTACAAAAACAGTTAACCTAAATACTTTGCAATGGTCCTAAAAATTTTGAGTTGACAGTAGTTTTTTATAGATTTTTACACATTCAAATAGATGACCGGAAACTCGAAAAACTTATATTCACGTTCAATTGAATTTATTCGTTTTTCTTTCCTGTCAAATAACATATTGGATACACGCCAACTAAGCTGTATAATTTCTCTGAGGAATTGTCGACGGTAGTAAATATTAGAACGTGTTTTATTTAAAAAAAAAAAAAAGATTACCATCTGTGTGAACCAGCGGGGTCGCTCAGCTGCTGGTCAAACTATTTTATACTGCATAACGTATCTATAGATATTTCTTGATTAATAATCAACCAAATTTGTTATTCTCGTATGAAATATTTGGAGATTGTGTGTTTGTGTAACATTGAATTTATTTGTTTATTCAATATCTAGTTTATGATAGATATTATTAAACAACTTATATTTATATTTCTGTGTTATGTGTTTTATAATTAATCATTCATTGTTTTCTGGCGACTTCGTACATATTACCTAATACATTAATATTATATGGGTGTACATTTATAAAAGATTTGTTTTGAGGTCAGAGTTTAGAAGCTTAATAAGTTAATACTAAAAGTTGAACAGATAACCTATCACCGTACTACACCTAGATATAAATGGCGACAGTGTTTCCTAAGTTTTTAGCAGATACACTAAGAGATATATGATATGCTCTAGCATATATAGCACATGTTTATATACTATATAGATATACATAAAACTGTAAATCGGGTACTTAGCACCACGAAACGTATGCGGACTTTTTCATTGAGATATTGTGTGCATCTCATGTACTCTGCTCAACTTCCTAACTTATGAAGCGTCTGTCAAACGAATATATCAACTCATCTATATAAATACAATAACAATGAAATGTAAGGTTGAAGAGTCATTATTTTAGATTAACTTTATTTTATTGGCGACTAAAGATACACTTGACACGAGTAGAAAATGAAAGCAGTTTTACATTTTTAAAATCCTTTAACTCAAAATTTTAATTGCAAGTGCTTGATGATTGCTTGCAAAAAACCAAGCAGTAAACAATTATACTTTTCTTTTGCTACGATTGTAAAAAATCGACTCTTGTAACGGTGCTCATATTTCGGGATTCAATTTCAGTATTACCCATTTATTCTACATGCCTTTAAATTTTAATTTAGTTATTAGTAGGATAATTCATAATGCCAACACAAAACAAAAGATATTTTTGAAAATGCAATTTTAATCCTGAACGTTTAACTCGTTCATTTGCACGAAACAAACCAGGTCGCCCACAGAGATAAATAGTGTGCCAGTGTTTCTAAATTACCTTTGTCACAACGGTTAGTTAAATGCGGTTTTATTTTGCTGGGAAAATTCAGCCAACAAAGCCGTGCCTTCGACCTGTACCTTCAAGTGGGCCCGCAGTTTTAAGTTTAGAAAACTCTTTAGGCGAAATATTCTCGTTTCCATTGTAATATTTTAGAAAAACACATTTCATTTTCTTAGCATATTCATATATTATACCAAAATTAACAATTCAAATTTTTTATTTGGATTTTAATTTTATATTTGTTGAATATTTTCAACTTATCTTTTAAAGTATATTATTCAATAATACCCTAGCCTTCGGGCTTCTGTTGCAAGGCCTAGTATCATTTGCGTAACTTCATCGCCCTGCTCACTGATTCTGGAAGGAGGCCAGTGGAAAGAATTTCCACGCAACTCGTACGTGTATACTATAGGTGTTTTCAACTTATTCCTTACCCAGTCCATGCTGCCCCCTGAAGCCTTGTCTAAAATAAATAATAGATTGTCTAGGATTAATGCTGGATGCTTTACTTTACTTTATACTATTTTTTCCTTTTTTTGTCAATACTGTGGCCGATCCGATTGGCGTAGTGGATAGTGGACCTGACTCCTGCGCCAGAGGGTGTGGGTTCGATCCCCACTACTAGAAAAGTATTGTGTGATGAACATAGTCTTTTTCCAGTGTCTGGGTGTTTATATATGTATAATATTTTATTTACAAAAAAAGTATAGTTAAGTATGTTTACCTAGTACCCATAGTACAAGCCTTGCTTAGTTAGGTACTAGATAACGTTATAACGTTTAACGTGTAAAAATATGTCCTAAAACTGTTTTTTTATTTATGAGCGAGGCCCATCAATATTATAATTGTTATCATCTTAAAAGGTATTTATTATGGTAAACTGGAAAAACACCATACACAAATACTTCAACAAATAATTTTTCAACTTCTCGAAAATCCCAGAATCATCGATCGATGTTGTGACCAGCTTCACGCACCGCTTTCAAAGTTGCAAACATTTTATGTCTAATACAAGGTTTTGTTTAACAATAAACCCCATGCAAATTGGTTATTTACTCCCTGTAGTCTCGATTTATGCTACTCTAGATTCTTCAACATCAATTTGGCTGGTTTTAATGCTCGCAGGGCCTAGAATCTAGCATAATTGAAAAGAAGATAGAGTTTTTTATTTAGCCTTTATTCCGAACGTAAATATTTCTGCCATAAAATTATTTAAACATTCTGTTATAATTTCTCTCAAAATGCGAATCAATCCATTTGAAAGCACAAAGGAAAATAGCTTAAACATTAACTTACAAAGAATTTCCGCCGCTGTAGCCGGCCCGCCATATCTCTCTTGTTTGTTCACAGCATAACCGTAATCCAGAGATGTTTTGCCGATTTTAATCTTCGAATTTGTGCCAAAGAAAGGTAAAGAACAGAAAACAAGTTTTGAATAATTCACTAACAGAGTGATAAAAAATAAGTCTAAAATTTTTAATCTAGAAAAGAAAAGGTCTTAGAACATTATGAGCAAGACTTAAATATATAAAATATAAAATAATGATTTAAAAGGAAGACTTCTTCGATAGGAAATAAAACCTACGAAAGAAAAAAGCAGAAAGTTTTACAAATGTGGAAAATCACGAACGCAACACATTTTTAGGGTTCCGTACCCTAAGAGTAAGACGGGCCCCTATTACTAAGACTCCACTCTTCGTCCGTCTGTCGCCAGGTTGTATCTCATGAACCGTGATAGGTAAACAGTTTAAATTTTGACAGATGATGTATTTCTGTTGCCACCATAACAACAAATAATTAAAAATCAGAATAAATTAAGAAAATATTTATAAAACACACATGATTTTTATAGTTTTTAAAGAATGGTACGGAACCCTTGGTGCGCAAGTCCGACCATTTGGCTGCTCTTTTTCCCAATAGGGATTCGAAGCCTCAACACGGCGCGGTGCTGGCACCAATGAAATTGTTAATTTTAAGTGCTGAGTTATCAGTGCTCAGCGGCGAAGGAAAACATTGTGAGGAAACCTGCATGTTTTCGAAATAATAACAAAAAAAATTACGAAAATATGTGAAGCCCGCCAATCCGCAGTGGGGCCGCTTGGTTGAACTGTACCCTCTGTACAGAGGAGCACTTAGCCCAGCAGTGGGGCATCTATAGGTTGTTACTAACAGCATATATTTTCCGGGAATTTTCCATATTTTGAACGCACAGCGGAAAATACTTACCAAATCGTCGTAATTGTCGGTATGTTCAGTTGAGTCTGAGTACGGTACCAACAGGATGGCGGCGTGCGAATGGAAACTTATATAAGCCAATAAATTATCTATGCTCTGAATGTATGAGGATAAGGTTCGAGTCTCCATCTCTGAGAACGGCTGCGAACCGGCGTATGTTTGATAATCGCACGGATTGCTAGACGATGAGTACTCTGAAAATTGAAACGATATTTTACAAATCTGCATAATGACTTCACAAGCAATACGAAAGTAACTTTATTCTTATTGCCTCAACCAAAATATATAAACCATTATGTTGATTTACTGTAAAATACACATTCTTTTACAGTAAATCAACATAGTGGTATGAGTTATTTGGATATTATATACATATTTATATTATATTATACTACATTTGATCTTAAAAATATGTGACAGTTTGGGTAAATCGATAGGGAAAAGCGAATTAAATACATACGTCCCCAATTATAGTCCCAATTCCTGTTCGGGTCTGCACCAAAACACCCATTGGAAGATTTCGAAACTGTCTTTCTCCAGTAGCGATCCTTAATATACAAAAAATAATTACTTTTCGAAATGTTCAATTCATAAAGGTTATTCATTACATGGAGAGGTTAGATATAGTTTTAACGTACAATTGGGTCGATAAATACTCGGCAATAAAAAAGTCATCTCTAAGTAAAAAAAAAGAAATCAACTGTGGTGAAGAACTGTCGTGAACTGTCGTGAAGGTCCTCCGCTGTTGGACGAATAGGCAGGTTCATCCAGTGAAGTGGAAGGTTTATACTTACGCGTTTCGTCTTGTCAGTGGAGGAACCGGGGCCAGCTTTTTTAAAGTTGTCAACTCATCTAAAAAGCCCTCAGGTATTATAGAAGCTCATGGGAGGCGGTAGTCACTTAACATCCGGTGAACCGCCAGCCCGCTTGACAACTTTACATATAAAAAAATATGAAGCAATTTGTTATCTTTATCTAAAATATAAAATTCTCGTGTCACGGTGTTCGTAATTGAACTCGTCCGGAACGGCTCGACCGATTTTCGTGAAATTTTGTGTGCATATCGGTAAGGGTGGAGAATCGGACAACATCTATTTTTCACCCCCTGAATGTTAATGGTGGTCCACCCTAATCAGTTTTTTCTACTCTACAAATTCCCTAGAAATAATTTGGCAGAACAACGTTTGCCGGCACAGCATTGTTAAAAATAAAATGGTCACATAATGTAGCACGATTTCACGAGTTAATGCGAAAACTGATAAGTGAAACAACAGGGGTCCACAATTTTTTAAGTAACGTTTTCAAATATTCTTTATATTATATAAATATTTTTCTAATAGTATTGTAAATGTCTATTATTGACACTGAACACACCATTACTCTTATTCATGAAAAATAGAAATTTGTTGTTATTTTTCTTGCAAAGTTGAGTGTAACATGTGGGATGTTTTTGCTAAAGGCGGTGGCGGAATTCTAGCAGCAACTTTTGCATATGAAATTCAAATGCGAAAACAATCTACTCACCACGTTGTAACTGTAGTGGTAGCCATCCGGATTCACGGACGGGAAGATGCGCCAGTCAAATTGATCCCTGAGGGCCGTTATATTTGGGTCGGTGCTCGTTAGAAGTTGGTTAATGAAGTACGTTGTGGTAGCCGGAGCAATCCATTCTCTGGCATGGATGCCTAAAGATATATTACGTTTTAAGTAAAACCATTGGCATAGCTGCACATTATTAAACCGTAGATTGGGACCAGGTTCGCTTATAACTAAGTGCAGATTCTCATGTGTAGTGAGAACTTTTGAATTAATTCTATGGATTTTAATTAAAATAGGACGAAGAAAAATTCTAAGGAAGCTTATTGATTTTATTAACTACAATAAAACGTGGATTTTATCAAGATTGATAGAATAAACAAGATTATTAGGTAGGAGTTCTCATAATATCTGGATACAAATATAACCTTCGTACATTAGATATGGGAAAGTAAAACATTGTGGCAACCAAGCTGGATGCTGAGTTATAAAATGACGTCACTGTGGGGACGTTGATTGCTTGAAAGCATGCTAGATTTCCTAGTACAATATGCACAGTGGCTCGCGTTTGATATGCTATTCGATTCGATTGAGAGCCAATCGAGAAAGTAGTATTTTGGTATTGGCATGCGCAAGTGGAAGATGAAATGAGTGACAATGACATTTGAGCACTACGTTCCCAGTGTCAGCTCAAACGATGACTCCGTTGCCAAGCATTTCGACGACTCCGTGGCGAAGTTGCCAAGGTATTGGCTTCGCCGTCGGGGATCGTGGCTTTTCTGTTTGTTTACGTGAAATTTGTAAAACAGAACACAGTATAGTAAAGAAAGGGCAATGTTTTTTTTTTAAAAAAAGAGAATGAAGAAAAAGGAAAAGCAAGACTACCGAGCGTATTACGTAAATAAAACATAAAACCTAGCACCATAGCATGTTTTAAATCTAGCAGACGTTTCCGTCAGTAAACTTGTCTCAAATGAATCACGCTTAAATCAGAAAAATTAGTAAGCGTTTGTCAATTATTCAAAACGTCCCTTTAGAAGGTCGACGTCAAGAGATGTTATTTTAATTTTTGCTTCCTAACTACCATTGATTTTTTACCAAAGTAAAATAAAATTGACAACCAATATAGTACGATTTTTGGAGGACATATATTATGGACCCTTAATTTAAAACGTTTAGTGATACCAGACTCAATGAAGACGACCGGCTTAACAGAATCGTTTTCCTTATGGTCGGGCGTCATGATCCGCAGGCCCAGGATAGAGCGCCCCTGATAGCTTTTACCGCCAGCAATCAGTTTGGACATACTTGGATAGGTTTCACTCATGTTCGCTAAAAATCCGTTGATCTGAAAATTGACTATCGATTAGATTTTAAAAATAAAACAATATGTGCGCCACATCTTTATACAGCGTTAAGTGGGAACTTATCATTAATTCACATTAGTTTAAAATGAAAATGTGGCACAATTTTGTGATAGCGTGATGAAAAGGTGATTTAAGCACATTCGAAAACTCGAGAACTTGAAAAGGCATTGTATTTAACATATTCACTGACAATTGTAATTTATTTTAATACAGAATACTCACGTCATCAATATCATAATATGCAGTCCATGAAAAATCTTTTTTACGTTGAGATATCGACTTTTCTAGTTGAATTATTCTGCAAAAAATAAAGAACGACTAATATCATCATCCTCCGGGCCTTATCTCACCTAGGTGGGGTCGTCACAACACGTGACTCGTGTTTTAAGCGGTTTTGGCTATTTTTTTTTCGACCGCCTTTCTAACGTCAACCCTCCTTGGGAAACAAACACCCAAATTGGAAAAAAATTATCTGTTTGGAACACAAATACTTGTTCCGCGTGGGCATCGAACCCACGACCACGACACTGACGTCAATAGCTCAGCATCGGCGGCACCGAATCATCGACACACAAGATGCACGACTAATATTAATTTATTTAATAAAAACCTTGTAGTAAATTCCAAAGAAGTTTACACTATATAAACATTAACATTTTTTTTTATTATTCAGAAATTAAAAGCAATGTACCGGAACATTTAATAACAACTGTGGTATTGCCAGGCAACAGTGTACGCTGTTGCAGGAATGGGCAAGTCCGTCCGGGTTAGTACCACGACCTCACAGAAGACCGGTGTGAAGTAGAAGTGTTACACTTCTGCGTTTCGTCTGGTGAGTGAGGTAGACGGGGCCTGGGGCAACACATCTGCAACCCCACGGGTGTTGCAAATGTCAATGGGCGGCGGTTTCACTTGACATCAAGTGAACCGCCAGTTCGTTTGCCACTTTCTCACATTAGCAAAATAATAACAAAAATGAATGCGTAACTTTCAATGTGGAATTATTGTTATTTATGACAAGCTGACATACTATACAGTTAAATTATACTCACTTTGAAATATCGTCGTATAACATCGCAGTCGTTAAATTCTCTTTAGCCACCAAGTCACTGAACAGCGCTTCTACAGTAGGAGCCACAATAACTTCCGCCCCATTTCGAGTATCGCTGTAGGTTAATGAACCCTAAGGAGTTAAAAAGTATGACATAAAAATAATAAACAATTAAAACTCCTATGATGACAGTTGATGTCAGACTTTAAAGCCCGGTTTCTGAAACACTGATCATTAAGAAGATCATTCTGATCAATTCAGAGAGATTAACCATCCTTTTGGCAACTCAAAAGACATTTGAAAAGCCATTTGACAGCTGATTAGTTGATTTATACGATGATCGGTGTTTTAGAAACCAGGCGTTAGACTTTTTTTTAAATTATTGAATTGTAAAATGAGTTATCTTAAGTTAGTAACTGTATCATAATAAAAAAATGGTTTTGTAAAAAATACAAATTTAATAAGCACACCCAATTACCATGAGCCATCATATAATTCCCTCCTGTCATTTTTCCACTTGTGTGGAGTTACATTACATTGACTTTGTAATTGGTACTAGCTAGGTTTTTTCAGCCGACAGCCTGCGTGACGTCGAGTCACCTCGAGGACAAACACCACAGATAATTGTAACTGATCTGCAGTTACAATTATCTGCAGTTCACACAAATTCTTGTCCCGTGAGAATTGAACCTACAGCGTCTAAGCCAACAGCTTAACAACTGCGCCACCGCATTGTAAAATATTATGATAAGTTAATTTAAATAAGTTAATTTTTAGCAGTTATTAATAATTTATACTCTACAGTATAAAGAAAAATTTACAGACATTTATAGACCAACATAAATGGTCTGAGAGAATTGTATGTAGGCCACACACGTGCATGGTAAATCTAGTCCGATAATTATCTCATTGGCAGCTTGATAAGGAAAGGTCAGAAACAGCTTTAATTTGGCGTACTATCTAATCGAGTGAAACTCCACTTTTCTCCTAAACAATAGGCATGCTAGTTAATTACTATCAAAGCGGAAAGGCCGAAAATTCGACAATAGTCGAATAACTTAGATAAGGAATCTGTGTTAACACTATTTTAACTTTTCCAATAGCTAAAGGAGTAACATCGATGTACCGAATATGAAAGCCTATATTTGGCAGTTGTATTACAATTGCCAAATGTGGGTTATATTTATAATTGCCAATAAAGCTGTCTTAATTTTAACAAAAAACCTCGCGGAATGTGTTCATACTGCGCAACGTATAGAAATTGTAGCTTTAAATTAAAATGACATATATAAGTGAAAGTGACAGATCATATAGATGTATGAGACGGAAAGAGATAGCAGTCTAATGCAATTTAATGACACTAATTTCCGTAATTTATGTGCCCCAGTTTCGATAGACACTAGTCATAACAATTTCGTATTCTTAGAGACGATCTTGTAATTATTGCAGTGATCAGTCCTTTATACGACCAAAAATTTCATTTATTTATATACACACATAAAAATTCTAGATGTACAAAAAGATTTGTACATCTAGAATTTTTATGTGTGTGTATATATATATATATATATATATATATCATCATCATCATCAGCCGCAAGACGTCCACTGTTGAACATAGGCCTCCCCCTTAGAACGCCATAACGAACGACACTTTGCCATTTGCATCCACCGGTTCCCCGCGACTCTTATGATGTCGTCGGTCCACCTAGAGGGAGGCCTTCCAACGCTACGTCTTCCGGTTCGTGGTCGCCACTCGAGAACCTTTACTCCCCATCGGCCATCAGTTCTTCGAGCGATGTGGCCTGCCCACTGCCACTTCAACTTGCAGATCCGGAGAGCTATGTCGGTGACTCCGGTTCTTCAGCGAATTTCCTCATTCCGGATTCTGTCGTGCAAAGAAACTCCGAGCATAGCTCTCTCCATAGCTCTCTCTCTCTCTCTCTCTATATATATATATATATACACCAGACGAAACGCGAAAGTATTTGTCATACTTCCACTTTACGCCGGTCTTCTGTGAGGTCGTGGTACTTTCCCGGACGGGCCTGCCCATTCGTGCAACAGCCGAGGCTGCTGCGTGGCCCTACCACCGTAAAGGTAATAAAATCCTTTTAAATTATATTATAACTTGCACATGTACTCACGTCTGCCTTCTGCAGGGCTGCTATTGTTCTTTCTGTTCCCGCTCTATCACCTCGCAGAATGTAATATTTGTAATTCTGGTATGTCTTATACTCATCGCTAGAACTGTACGCGAACGGTACTAAAGTCAAAAATAATGTTAGATACGTGTGTTTCATTTTGTAAACCGTACTAGTGATTCTTGCACAATTTTCAGACTTATATACTCGTAGGCTATACACATCGCAGTCTAAAGTACTTGTATATATACGTAGCTCTTCACTGATAAGAGAATTCTCAACAATTATTACGTTTAAAAATATACATGGTACACATTCTTGTATGTATGCCTTCGTTTGCTTTAAAGCGTTATTCATCCTATTTTTATCCGTCCTAGAAGGTAAAAACAGTCAAGTGGTCCATCTGAGGTAATCTATTTCTATAGCTTTATTTTTTATGTGAGAAGGTCGCAAACGGGCTGGTGGTTCACCTGATGCTAAGTGAAAACCACCGCCCATCAAAATTTACAATATCCGTAGGGTTACAGATGCGTTTTTTAATAAAGTGGGCTACCGCACTTACCTGAAGCACCAATGAAGTTTTTAACTTTAAGTGCTGACTTATCACGTGCTCCGTGGTGAAGGAAAACATCGTGAGGAAACCTGCATATTTTCGAAATAATACCAAAAAAATATTTCGAAGATATGTGAAGTCCGCCAATCCGTAGTAGGGCCGCGTGGAGGACTATGCCCATTCAGGGCATTTTGAATATACAGATATAGAGGAGGCCTTTGCCCAGCAGTGTGACATGCATAGGCTGTTACTTTACTTTACATTATTACAAATATTAGATACACGGTGTTCTCTAATATGCACAGCGATGAAAGCATTAAAACGTATATTTGCTAAAAAAAAGATGCCGTAGCGAGTCACGTCGACCCAAATTATAGACAGCCTTTTTTTATCGCTAGCTTTTTTAATGCAAATTATGTATCTAACCGGATGCGGAATCCCAAAGTAAATCACCATATAACAAGGTAGTATGAAAATAAGCATAATAAATTAGTTTAGCTATTGCCTCGTTTGTTAGCTGCCTGATCTTGCGTATGGCAAAGACAGCAGTGCTCATTGTGGCTGTATTATTATTTATCTTAGAAACGTGATAGCGACGATTAAAAGCGCGTATCATTGATTATTTGACGAGGGCTCGCATCACACGATAACGCGCGATTGGCAAACGTGCTAATGAATTAGCTCAGTCAAAACAGACAAAACTATCTAATTAGGCTTTGCCTAAGCAATATAACAATCAATTTGCAAAGCTAATTTATGATAATTTAAAATACAAGGAGGATAATTCAATATTTTACTTTAAATAAAACTATTTTTTTATTGTGATCAAGCAGCCGAGGACTCTTTAAGCAAAATAGTTCAATAACATTCTCGCCCACAGATCAAAAATGTAGATTGAATAATATATACTAAAGATTGCATTTAAAAAGCCGATAAGGTTCCCAACAACAAATCTCGGATGATAAGGTCAGAAAACTTTATACTAAATTATATAAATGTGGTGCGTATATGTAATTGTTTCACAAGATCATGATTGAACTGTACATTCATGATCACTGTCGTCAGGGTTGGTACTCATTTTGCACTTTAAAGGTGTTATTTCACTTTCCTGCATATTTCTAATAGGATGTCAATTTACATTTTTGTACTTAGAGTAAAAACTATTATTAATATAGAGTAAAATCTATATATTTTTCATTGTTAAATATACTCTTACTTACCATAGGTACCTACGGTCGTGACCTCCCTTAACATTTACTTAATTTATGTATTTCGAACTGTTAAATTATTTTATTGCCCAAGCATTTTATTTATTCTAAGACAAGTGTATTTTTATACGTAAGTATGTTTATTAATTGGGTGCTGTAAGTACTTCAAAATTATATTTTATAAAAACAAATATTGCAAATCGTGAAAAAGATCTAATAAAGGGGGATGTCGATTGATACAGGTAGCTTAAGATCGTGTTTCGTGATAGACTGTGGGCCTTATGCTGTGATGTTCAGGAGTGGACTCTAACAGACTGAAATTATGATGAAAAAAAATATTTAACCCATGGGTAGGGCAAAATTTTGGGGTAAGAAAAAAATCTAAATATACTAATGAGACTTCTTCGGAATAAAATTAGTATTATTATATTAATATTTTGCAGAGTTCATGGACTATGTATGTATCTCGTGACCATGGACCCTGTAAAGCGTTTAAAAATAAATAAACTCGAATTCTAACAGATAACATACACCGTTGAGTACCCGCATGAATAAAAGTCGGAGTTGTTCAATTATCTCACATTAGTGCCTACTATTAGGAGAGGCTCACCTTTTGCTGTTTCGGAATTTAATAAACTCGTTCAAACGTGGAAACTGTTATATTTTTATGGGATAAAACACAAAAAATAGAACAAATTTCGAGAACCCTACATCAAATGGACTACTTCTAGGAATCTTACTTTCCGAATGCTCGCTTTTGATTTAGTACACTCGAATTCGAAATCCAAAGCTGGCACTAACGAAATTGGTACTGGCAATTTTAAATGCTGAGTTATCACGAGCTCGACGGTGAAGGAAAACATTTTGAGGGAACCTTCATATTTTCATCCTAATCCACTTTGTACGGAGGAGGCCTTAACGTAACAGTGGGTCATCAAATTTCTTGTTCGCATTTTCGTTTCATACACAAACCCTTAGTGCCGATGCAAATTTCCGATCCTACCACGCATTATACTAGTATTTTCCATTACGTTATCGTCTTATGTAGTATTAAGACGATAACGTAATGGAAGAAATAGGTATTTGTAAAATTACCAAACACATTTAAAAAAAAAAGAAAATGAACTGAAGATTACATTTATCTACTACCGGAAAAAAAACTATCTTGTAATAGTAGAGCACAATTACTGAAACTATAAAGGGATCCCCAGGAGACTTCAAGACCAGACTGAATAAACAAACAAACATAAGAAGACTTAAATAAAAGAAAGCGAGTTAAAGAGTACAGAAATGAACTTTTAGTTAATAGAGAAAATACGGAAAGTAAATACAATTTTAGATTGTTCGAGGGATGAGATAATAACACTGCTAGAATGTCGGGTCTTGTCAAATAATAAGATACAAGAAAGATAAACATATAGAAATCAATTATGGTTCAATTGATAATGAAAAGGACGTTTGTGAATATATTAAAAGTTTATTTCTTTTATTGGCCCGAAGTTAACGAAGTTAACGTAAGAATTAAAATATCGCTTTTGTCGAAACTCGTCGGTACCCAGAACTGCAAAGGCGTTGTATTATAATTAAGATGAAAATCAATTTTATAACCAAATTTTGAACCTGCATTCTTAAATCTCGAAACGAGGCCTACATCTCATTCCTGGAAAGAGTTTGTATAGTGAGTTCATAATTCAAAATCTCGAAAAAAAGCCTACAGCAGGTCTTATTCCAGAAAGTTTGCAAGTTCGAGTGATAATTTCATAATTTATAAAATAAAAAATTATCTCTTGTCTCCAAATAGATGGCTTTGAAATTAAAATAAAAGCTCAGCGGCATGCTTCACGCAGAGATTATAAATTGGCTTCAAATGTTCCCCATTCATTTTCATTCGCGTCGGCGGCGTAGTTGCTTTCTACTTTACATCCTAAAGTTAAATTAGATTATACCTCCGTATCAGTTTTACTCAATTTTGGAAGAGCACACATTATAAATTTGCTACTCCAATAAAGATTGCTTAGAAAATTATTCTCTAACATAGCGCGATAATAAAAAAAGATTTGCATAAATCCTGGATACAATTGCAACAGCAAACAACAGCGACAAAAAGAACATTAACAAACAGAAATATTCCACTGAGAAAAATTTTACAACTTTCCTTGGAAGCGATTTAACAGAAATTATCCTGACTTCTTTAATTTCTGACACGATTTACTTGTTCTTTATATCAAAATTTCCAAAATTTTCAAAAATCTATAATCATATTTTTTTTAAATTATAAAGAATTATGAATAAAATTATCTAGTCTAATCTAGGTTAAAGTTCATTTTGCTCATAAAATATGGAGTCTTTAAAAAAAAACATATTTGAGAAAATGCAAAACAATTGAAAAAAATACCTATTTATACCGTTAAAGGTCTTACATGGTTCACCAAATCAAATAAAATTTGCCTAGCTTGTAAAATCGACGTTAATCCTACGAGTATGATATGATATTGTCTATAAATATTCATAACATTATAATAGACGGTATTTTTTATACATTTGTATTTATTTACATTTGTATGCATGTTGTATTTTTATCTTGTTATATTAGAAGGAAAAGTTTGTAATTTATATTACGTTTTCCTCAAACACGTAAGGGCCGCCTTCCCAAATTAAGTCCAACAAAATAAATCCTAACGCGTTTATTAGAAATTTGTTCAAACGTGGACGTTGTTCAAACACAGCAGCTTCAAGACAATCACTTCACAAACAACAAGTTAAATTGGTTTGTCTACATCCTCCTGACTAACTCAAATTGCCGAGTGAAAAAAAGAAATGAAAAACATTTCCTTATTCATTGCTCCGTCGACGTCCACCGGAGCTATTTTCATTTAAATTGAGTAGTGTGAATTAAAATGTGCACCCCCTAGATTACTTGCAACTCAGTCAATCGTTATTAAATTTCGTTATATTGAATATAGTATTCATAAACAACTGTCTCACTGTTACGCCCGAAATACGGGGAAGGACTTAACCCTTAACGGTTAGGTTTTATATTTCATAAACGAGGTAGGGCCACGCAACAGTGTTCGCCGTTGCACAAATGGGCCGGTCCGTACATGTTACATTTCTGCGTTTCGTCTGGTGAGTGAGGTAGCCGGGGCCCACTTTGTTAAGAGGTGGCAACGCATCTGCAACCGTGTTGCAAATGTCCATAGGCAGGCGGTAATCACTTAACATCCGATGAACCGCCTGCTCGTTTGGCACTTTCTTATCTATTGTTAAATTATAACCGCCAGCCGAGGAAATTTTCAAAACCTGACGGGTCACAGATTCGTGTCCAAAAGTCTTTAAAAGTCCCCGATTACCTCATACTTATTTGAAGTCGGTTAAAAACTCGTAAACACACTAATGCC